TAATGAGGAGGCTTCTAAACGTGGCTCTATCTTCTGACCAAGGAATTAGTTTAAAAAGGTGTACTTTTTACTCAGTGGCTGCAGTTAGCCACGTTGAGGACCAAGTGCAAAGTAGCATTTTCTACAGCCTGTGTAGTGTTAAGGAGTGTTTCACTAACACATGTGTCTTACTGTGCTTTTCTTCTTGCCTACACTTATTCCTTTGCCATGGAGGGCAATTATGGAACTTACCAGTCTCTGTTCATTTAAAAAAATAATAAAATGATATATAAATAGCAAAATGATATCCTTTCTTATTCAGGTGCACCCTCATTTTAATTAAACAATGTCAGTGTTCTTTGGAGGTGTGTTCAGCATTAAAATGTATGATTTGGGAAGGCAAGAGATTCAACATTGCTCACCAGAGCCAGATTAATAAATGTCATTACAAGTGCAGGAATTTAACCATCACATTTCCCTGTAGAGCCTGAGGTAATTGGAAATGTTTAAGCTTGACAAAAGAAGGAAGTAAATATACCTATGGGGGTAGTTCAGAAATATAAAGAAGAACTGAGGATTTAAAGTCTTCAATTTGTAATTACCTGGATCGCCAAAGCACATAATGGCTGTGACAACCCCACATATGGGAAGAACCACTTGGTTGGAATATGCATATATTTCAGAGGACATCCTCTGGCACAGCACTATTATTATTATTATTATTATTATTATTATTATTATTATTCATTTCCTTTCAAGTCTTCAGGACAATCTGCTCCACACCTCAAGCAGGCATGCAGTCTTTTTTTCTCAATCTAAGAAATGTCAAGCTTGGGCTTTTCTTTTAACTTTTTAAAATTAAGGATTTATGTCAACTGAGGCATATTTGATGTCACTGTCTACCTCACATTTTCAGACTAAGTCCTGAAGTATCCTTATTCTGTAGGTTAAGGTCAACACCATCATCTCTTTCAAAAAGGAATTCTCTGGCTAGGAAAAATTGAGACGAGGTGAATTAGAGATATTAGTAGATAAGTTGAAAGCTAGTCACAGGAATGTGCGAGAGTAAACATGAATAGAACCATCAGATTTGACATTGTTTATGAACTACTTTTTTCATCAAAACGCATACTAACAAAACACGTCATCAGTGTTATCCTCCAGTTGTAATAATTGGCTGCTCCCACAGATGGGAGACGATTGGAAACAGTGCCATCCTCTCCCAGGTGTTACCTAAGTCACCAGCTTAGCTGGGCCCTGGAGTTACACTACCAACCTGTTCATCTTAGAGGAGCGGGGGAACTTCACAGGCTCCCAGATCAATACTGTTCCCTGGCATCTGGATCCGCACTGGAGATTTTTTGTTGTTCAGGCTAGGACACCTTTGGTAAGGATGGGCCCACCCACCTTCAACAACCACAACATTTAAAACAAAAAAGTTAATTCTGGACTTGTTTATCTTTTAAGGCTGAGGAAGAAAAATATCTGTTCTACTCTGGACAGAAAGTGTATGCCCCAGAGACACAAAATCAGCTGCTTTCGCTTCTCGTGTGCAGCGGAATGGTTATATGTGCAGTGGGAGAAAGGGTCTTGTAAGAGAGAAGAAAAAGGAGCAAATAACACTCATATTAAACAGAATTAAGGAAGCTGCTAGTGTATTCTAGGGAGGTCAGGCTTCTTTCTTGGCATTTGTAGTACACATTTCCAGAAAGCAAAGCTCCAAATATGTACCAAAGTGTTGCAGACCGGGGCTGCTCTGGCACGGGTTTATAATGAAGGACAGTCACTAACAGAGAACTTTCCCCTCCCCCAGCTCCTCCTCAAGTACTTCCAGCTAGGGAGGTTTGCAGCCCTTTTTGTCTTCTTACAATTTAGCAAGAGCAGACACATTTCTGCAATGCATATGCAGATTTCACCTCTTGTTATTTCTCTAATGAGCGTCCACTTAATCAATTTGACAGTAGCCTTTATCCCCCTCCCATTTTTTCCCTTCACATCCACTAAGAAAGTTTTCAGGGAAAAAAAAAAAGTGTTAGCTGATTCAAGGAGGCATTAGCAATGTGAAATGGTAGCTGGCCTAAACAGGGTGACTCGCAGGGCTTTACAACAACCCTACTCTCCTGCCACCCCGTCTGTCCAGCTCCTGAAAACAGGAAGCAGCTCTTCCAGTCTCATAAAAAAGCATGTATTTTAAGAGCCAACAGGAAATGATTTTCCTTTTCTCTACAAGAATTGAAAACAATTAAGCCTAGTACTTTCTCTTAGCCCTATACCCCCATCCTTCCAAAAGCACTTTTAAAAACGATTATGAACAATAATCTTGCTATGAGACAAGAGGAACCAATCTATGGGGGCACTCTCCCATCAAATTTCCCAACAGGGCACCCTATATCTAATGACCAATCATGACCTTGTTAAGTGGGGAGTGCAGGGATGGAGGGCGGGCACATCTCCATCTAATGTAGTTCAGTCTTCCCAGGGAATGGGTGATGAGACCCAAATCCTAGGAGTTCTCAATCGTACTCTCAACTCAACCTCAACTTGAATCTGCTACTGGGCGATTGATGTAACATGACAACATATGGCCCAGCTGCTAGGATATAGCAGGTCCTCAAAAAAAAAAAAAGTGAGTATCCTCTCTTGTCTGCAGGCAGAAAAAGGTTTCAGCCCTCAGTGCAGCATCCGAGAAGGCTTTACCTCTCATTTAGCCGTTTTCTCCATCTTCCAGTTCTCTCTGGCTCTCTCCAGCAGAACTCATGTCCATCATCTTATCCAGTTTTGTAACACACCCACTTGACTCCCTTTCACTGTACCAGGGCCAAAAAACTCACACTGATGGGAGGGAAGGGGGAAGACCGCCAACACCTCCCCCACCCCGGCCTGGTGCTCAGTTGATCTAGTTTTGCCTTTCCGGATAAACAACAGTCCCTTTTTCCCCATCACCTATCTATTAAGTCCCACCAACAGCCAATTGTTCACCTTTCACATTCAAATTGATAAGCCATTTGGTTTTAAGACAACCAGGGTCTAGTCTCTATCTAGAAGTTACGACTCGGGCTTTTTAGGTCACTGACAAATCTTTCTTTTGCTGGCCGTTTTGATTAAAGGTGGGAATCTATACAAGTTGCCTACCTTCTCTAGCTTCAGTGCCTGTCATCCTAAGCAGGCTGAACCTGTTCTAACCATAGAGAGGGTCATCAGCTGGGATTCCTCTGAGCTCTGGGAATGAGCAATACTTTCAATTTCATAGCTCGTCTTTGACCAGGATCTCTTAAATTCGAAGGGCTGCACTGACATTTTCAAGAAGTAGAACTGAGTTGATCCACAGTTGAAGAGCCTGCATTCTGTTATCTGAACTCTTTGCTTCTTGTTAGAAACCAGAATGGCAGGCCCCATCCCAAGGCCTATTGACCCAGAATCTGCATTTTAACAAGCTCTCCAGGTGATTCATATGCACATTTCTTTAACCACCTGAGGATTTTTGAGAAGGTAGGGATACAGAGTACCCTTGTGGGTTCTTTTCAATTCCTTTTCTGTCTTCTAATCACAATCCCTAGTGAGTCAGGGAGGATATGGAGTTTGGGTTGGAAAGGAAAGAGGAACAGTGGGGGATTAGCACTTTATTGCTCCATTGTTCCTAACCTGTCTTTCTAATATGCTGATTTAAAAATTTCCTTTAGCTCATACACAACTAAAAATAGATGCTATTAGGTCCTTATTTCTTTTAGAAATAATTTGAAATTTTATCTAGCTTTCCTCTCCTTTGTTTTACAAAAGCACCCTGAAATGCAGTCTACTGTAATGGTCTTTTCGGTTTAGTGAACTAGTCGTTTAGCCCCGATTTCTATTTTTACTTAAGATTTGTTTATATGTAGGTTTCATTCTAAAACACCTTATGGTTTTCCTGAGCTTATAGAAGAACTTTCGGGAGGGGTGTTTCCAGCACCTGCTGCGGAGGACATCCCTTGCCAAGGTTTAGCCATTCTCTCTCCAACACCTTACCATCCCACCCCCGTGTTCCTGAGCAGAAGGGTGGTGAGTGAGGGCAGTAAGTGGAAAGAGCACACCCCAAGGGCAGAGAGCCCTGCATTTACAAAGCTATTAACAGTTCTCCCATAAAGAATGTCCGTGACCTTCAGCAGGCGATTTAATATTTCTCAGGTCCGGGATCCTGCTCTGTGAGAAGGAGATGATAACTCGAAGGGCTGTTGGGCTGATTGAGGAGGCAAATTTCAAAATCACCTCCTGCAAAGCGGGAGGTTGGTAAATGGGGGCTTCCTTCCCTTTGTGCTTTCCTGGCAAGGCCTCTGAAGAGCTAGTCGAAAAGGAAGCCTGGCTGTCTCACCCCAAGAGCAAAGGCCCTCCAACTTGGAAATGAGTTATTTGGAGGCAGGTGAGAATCCAGTCTCCTTGGGTTGATGATTATAAATAGTCCCCGCTTATTAAACACCTACGATGTGACTTTGACATTTGGCAAGTGCTTTAACTTCCTGAACCATTCACCCCACTCTGTGAAATGGAGATTATAATGCCTAATAGGATTGTTGAAGTTGGTTAAAGAGGTTGCTTTACATTCATTATCTCACTGAATCCTCCCAGTGAACCAGGGAAACAGGCCTCATTTGGCCCCATTTTATAGCTGAGGACACTGAGGTCCAGCGATTCACTCAGGGTCATGCAGCTGATAAGTGCAAGTCAGGTTTTAAGTCTGGGTCTCTCTAATTCAAAATGTATATCCATTGTACTTTCTCTGCCTTTGGGGGACTGATCAGTCAAAGGGAAGCCAGATAATAATGGGAAATACTTTTAGTGTTTCCGATCCTTAATAATATTTCAGTTCAATTCCAGGAAGGGCAGTGATTTTCAAACTTATCTTTTTTAATCTGCAAAAAAATCTGCAACCAACCAAGAGAGGGAGAAATTTCCCCCTACATGGTTTCAATCTTGGCAGATAATGAGGCAGTTCTTTCACCTCTGAAGGATTATCAATTTGGATGTCCAGACCTGAGAAGCAGCACGATTTGTTTCTTTACTCTGCCTCTGAACAAAGTCATATCTTCAAGTTGCAGGGAAGGACAATCTCCATCAAAGGTCATCATGTTGTGAGCTGGTGGTGCTGAGAATTAAGGGGATGCTATTAACCAAGGTGAATTGACTCCAAAGTTACACCCTCATTAATGAGGTGAGTCACTCTCATTCAAAAAGAAGGGGCTTGAAGAATGATGGGAAATCAAAGTGCATTGCTTGGGGGCTGGCTGAGGGAGAGGCAGAGAAAGTGGGTAGGGAAAGGGAGGAAAATTGGTGTACAAAGAGAACCAAGGACTTGGTGCTCTTAAACACAGCACCGACCATCAAAACTCAGCCTCTGATGCTGAACCAGTGTCATGCATTTGCTTGGGCAGCCAGCATCAGCGTTTGATCCAAACAGGTGGAAAATGTATTTCCTGTGCAGTCTGTTAAACACTGGATAGGCAGCTGTGGCACATGGAAAATGCTTGTGCCTACAAATAATGGGCTCAAACATAGAAAAACTCTTGAAAATCTAAATGGAATTAGACTTTATAATGAGTGCATTGCAGGTGAAAATAGGTCTCTTCTTTGCATTTGGGGCAGCCTTGTGGGTAAAATGACCTTCATTCTAGTTAGGCTGGCCCTTCCCAGCCTGAATTGTAGTTGTTCCTTACTATTTCCTAGAACTGCCGGGTGGGGTGTGCTTGTAGAATAATGACAAATTAAGGACAGTCTTCAAAGTAGATAAGGATCATTAGTTGCTTTGAATTGGTGTTATCAGAGCTTTGCCATGTTTTACATAAAGTGCAAAAGAAGTATTTTAATTTGATTTACCTATAATGTAATAGTCTTACGACTGATGAGCTGCATTTAGTGACCTTCTGACTTTTTTAAATGAAAGAAATTTGCTAAGATAAACTACTTCCTTCTCCTTTATATAAGACTCTTTTCTTTTAGCCATGTATTTCTTGCTCAGCAAAAGTGACAGGGACTCCAGATCTCTGCTTTATTAATAAAAGTAGGTGTCATTTGAGTGATGGATGAAACCTATATAGCTTTCCAATTCGAACAGTTTGAAATTTTAACATGTCTGATATGTATAGAGAAATACAAGCATCCTCTTATTTTTATAGGTAAAAGAAATTCAAACATCCTTTCCTAATAAAATTCTAAGCACAGCAATCTTCCTACAACAGGATAACCAGCAAAGGTTGCTCAATTCTTAAGGAACAGTTGCCAGAAAAGCTCAGTCTCTTTGAAACTGAACCCTGAAAATGAGAACACCCCAAAAGATTTACATTTGGAAGTTGTGTTGTTGTTGTCACCCACCTTCAGATTGTTTGCTTTTTATGCACCCGTGGCCTTGTCCCAAGAAGCCCCCTCTGAACCAATCTATCTGCATCCTGGTTTTATTAGGTGGAGGGCACCAAATGATAATGTGTAATTAAAAAAAAACAAAAAGCAAACATGGACAGGTTTGTTTTTGTAGCTGTCAGCAATGTTTTGGCTATATTGAGAATGTAGGACAGGGTGAAGGATTAGCACCAGCCTTCTCTTTTCTGTGTATCAGAGCCGCTTAGCAGTAATTAATCAGGACATTAGGTTTTGTACTCTTGGTTCAGGTCATTTGCCTATGAGCTGCTCAAGCCTTGTACAAAGGCATACTGCATATGTTTCTGGGTACCTTTTTGAGAGAAGATTTAAATTGGCCAGATGAATAATACTTGGTTACAAGTGTTTTGCCCTAGGCAAAAAGGTTTTCTTCATATTATCATAGCCTGAAGCTGCAGTCCTCCAGCTTGATGTGACTGGTGTTATACCGTCACATGGCAATGATGTAAGAACAGGCCTCTCTGTGTCAGACAAATCTGGATTTAGGGGAATTATAGCAGATGTTGCAAAATGGCAACAGTTTAGCAAGTTCCTTTTATCCCACTGTTGGGAGGCAGGACCACTAAGTGTACCAGACAGAAAAGAATGTTTTCTTTGATCCTTTACACTCTAGGGTAGGGACTTCCCCAGTTAGAGAACATCGTTAATGATATAGTTATACAGTTGCTGATGATCAGAATACAGAATTAAGGGCTGGCTTTTTTTTTTTTTTTAGTATTTGTTTTGATTGAGCTTAGCATTTGTGGTCATTTACATTATAAGCTTCAGAAACCCTCTACGGTTTTATTCTTAGTAACGAAAGCTTAATTCAGTGGAAAAAACTGAATAACAACAACAAAAACTAACCTGCACAAAAAACATTTTAACCTTGGCTATCCTATCCACTCAAAGCTATTAAGTACAACTAAACTACATGATTTCTAAAAAAGAGAAAAATAGAAAATATAGCAGTTATTTTGATTTTCACGTTCTAATAAGTATTAATGACTATATTCAACCATGTTGAATAACAAGGTACACTGCATTGTCAGGGCTCATGCAAGTCTTAGTTTCTTAAAAGAAAAAGCTGTTTTCAAAAGCTTTGGGTTCCTCTGATCTAGATCCCTTTCCATACCATTCTAATAAAATTAACTCATACACATGATCAAGGTGAGTGGGTAGGTGACAGTGACACAGGGACAAAAACAAACACAAAAGCCATCCCCTGATAGAAGTGATGCCAAGTTTGATTTATGGGAACTGTGTTGAGCTGTGGTTTATACGCATATCTGGAACTCTCTGAGTCTCCAGAATCTTCTTTTGGAAATATAGTATTAAATATCACTATAGCACGTTCTCCACAGCATTTCACAACATACCTGCAAAAGACAGCCTGTGCGCACAGGACAACAGTAAATCATTTCCCACTAGGTAAAGATTTCCAATGATTATTAAAAAACCCATGCATAATGAATTTGCTCTTTTTATGCAAAGGTTTATTGATCATTTCCATTGGAGCATTAGACAGTGAAATGTGTGCAAACATTTAGACAACCTTTAAAAGGCTTCTATCTTTACAAGAGCATTTTTTAAAAATTTAAAGTATTTTTATTTGCAAATCGTGATCGCTGCTGGGAGTCCCCTGAACTAATCAGCATATCCTAATTTTTCAGACAGTTTTCAATTAAAACAAAGAAAAGAAGGATAAACATGAGGTGTGTTTAAAGAGCATCAGTGTAGGTGGCTGTATTTTGTATATCTTTTGAAAACATCAAAGGTAAAAAGACAAGCACAAAAGCAAGCTGAGAGAAGACTCAATAATGCTGCATCATTCTTTATAAAATACTATCTATAGTTCTATTTGATTATCTTTGTGTATTTCATCCATTTTGCCACTGACCTGGAGAAAGGATTTGCTTATGCAGTGCAGACAGAGAATATTGAGGAAGATACTGGGTTTCGTAATTTGAATAATAGATATTATACAGAAATGGGCTATAATTACATATATTGCTGTCCCTTTAATAAAATAAATATATGTTCTCAAAATACATGTGCTAGAGACCAATGTAAAACTCATATTTTAAAATTGCCAAAATTGCATTTTATGTAAATACAAAACTCAGCACATCTGTCCTACTACAAGCTTTAAAAATGGGAGCTTCCTTAAAAGCAGCTCAGCCTGAGGTTTGAAGTTAAGATTACATGATAAAATGCACACATTTTTGGACATCATCCATCAAAACTCCTAACTGAATCCTTCCCTATGATTTATATTAACCTCTTAATCACCTAAAGTCAGATCAGTAACACATTTTAAATTTGGTTACAAAGACAACTGTAATGATTGGGCTAAGTACTGCCCTAAATATATTGGTGTTTCTGTAGACATTTGAAGGGTTAAAAATGAAAGTGGCTTTCTGAAACCTGCTGTGTTCAAGGGTCTGAGGGGCTGCTAAAAATGTTTCCAAGAAGAGATTTTTGTTTTTTTCTTCCCCTGAAATGTCTTTCCCAGCTATCTCAACAAAAAAACAGAAAATGCATATCTTTTTCAGAAATCCCAATACAAGCCTCAAACACCTTGGCATCAGATAGCAATTCCCACACATTTGTAGCTCTGTCTAAGAACAATTTGGAAGAGTTTGCAGCACAGTAGTAGTATAGCATCTGTTGTTTCACTGTTCAATAATTCACAGTTAGCAAAGTAGAAAATGCAAACAATCCTTTTTCATATTTGCATACTTGGAATTTGGTTTTTTGATTCATTATTGTTCCCATTAGCTTTGGAAATTCACGTTTCTGTTTCTTGGATTCATGTTTTGCTTGAGCAAGCTCAAATTATGCTCTTGACTCAAATATTATTACAAGTGTAAATACTTGGGAGATGTAAGTGTCTGCCACTGATTTGGGGGTGTTTGTTTTATTGATTTTCATCTGGCAAGTTTAAAATATGAGCAAACTTTTCACGTAGGGTTTGGGGCATTTGTTTGAACACTCCTGGAGTAATTGGAAATGCAACAATTGTTTAAAAAGTGGCATTGTCCGTGAAAAGATTTAGTGAGGGATGAAGAAATTTCTTGAACCTAAAGACCTAATCTGGTGATCCAATTCTCCCCACTGTGTCCATTCCCGTGAAACTCCATTTACTTGCCCCTATCCATCACCAGCTCCCCGCATCCTACCTAGCCAATCCTCTAGGTTTCCCACATTGTCTCCTCTTTTGTCTTTTCAGTCTAAACAGAAGAACAACAGATAGGGTTCTGAAGGGCAGGGAGCATCAGGAGCTGCAGGAGAATGGCTGAGATGAGGGTCAGAGTCCTGCCCCTACTGCCAACAGTTACTAGGGTTTGTGCTGCCCGGCTGAACAGTGTTCAAAGGCTTTGCTGGGCTTTGTTCCACTGTGTAGGGATTAGGCCTGGCGGTCTGAGAATTTGCCTTCTAATTAAAAAGGATAAAAGATAGAAGTAGCATTAGACTAAAACAGAGCAGTGATACTTCACAGGCTGATTTTTTTTTTTTTAAGTCACAAGACAACACTAGAAGTTGTCAGGATATTTTATTTCTTTAGTATTCCCCTCAAATTAAAAAGAGAAAACTTTGGAAACTCTTCCCAGCTGTTTTTGTGCACGGCACATGGAAGTCTAATTGCATCTAAAATATCCGTTGTTTACAGGGAGACTGGTTTGGTGGGGGATTTGCAGTCAGCACTGGAGGAGGAAGGCTGCTTCCAGAGCCACCTTCCTTTTTCAAATGCGGGCAAGAAATTAATTCTACCAAAAGTGAATTCTGCTTTTCACTCCACCCCAGTGGGCCTGGCTCTGAAGCCTTCCAGTGCCTACCCTACCTATTCTCTTTTCAAGGATCAATCATTCCTTTCATCTCTTTGCAGCTGTAGACACTATCTTAACCAGGTGTGAAATGCAATTAAGAAATAATTCTGACCTCATAGTCTTTTTTTTTCTTCTTAATAGTAATCTGATGGAGGGCAAATTTTCATCTCTCACATCAATGCTGTTTATGTTTTGTGACAGTACACGTTAATTCTGTGCCTACATTTTGTTAAGAAGGAAACCATGCACCAATCCAGGGGCAGGCTGGCAGCATCGAAACCGATGATACACCATCTTAAAACGTGCCTGCCTGCCACCCAGCGCGGCCCTTTTTGCCCTGTCTGAAGGACTCTATGCTGACAGGAGAAGTACAACTGACACTTGTTGAATTTAACAAGAGGTTGGGAGTGATCTGCCAAGCACTTCACAGACTGGCTCTACCCACTCCATCACAAGACGGGATTTGAGGTGAGAATTTCTGTTAGAAATGCTGATGAGGTTATATAAATTAGTCGAGGTAGGTTTTTATTTTTTTTTTAAAGGGGGAAAAACAAGGAGGGAAGAGTTTTGTGGACTTCAGAGCTTTCAAAGCCACTGAGCTCAGATTGCATACAAGTATAAAGGAATGCCCCCTCATTCCCACAGAGCTCATGTTACGTCATGAGGCCGAAGGACTGAATTTCTTCTTTTCCACTTATTTTTGTTTTCAATTTGCCCAGCATAAACAAATAAAGCTCCCTTAGAAAAGGGATGTTTTTTAAGTATGAGATTATGAGACTAGCGTTTTTACTTCAGGGACACACATACTTAGGTTCCCTTTTTTGAAAAATCTGTATTATTTTACTTTTCTGCTTCCTTTTATCCAATTGAGCAAGTTATCAATTGGCTACATTGGGTATAAATGGAAACATGGAAACCTTGGGAAGGACAGATCCATCTTCCCATCCAGCATATCTTATTTGGGGCTAAGTCTATGAATAATGTAAATATTGTTTTCATCATAAGACAGAATTCAGTATTTCTAATTTTCTAAGCTTTAGTTTTTCGTTCTTTTAAAGCCTAAGTGAAATTAATATGTCAGTGACTATATTTATTAAGTGTATGGAGTCCATTATGAAACTATATGAAATACATGAGAAACAATGCTCATGAAATAATCCACATTGGTTTCCATCATCAGCTTTGTGAGAAAGAATAAAAAGGTTCTGTCCAGTTCTGACTTCAGGGACAGCCAGGGTAATTTATGTTAAGTTTCAGACCCTTCTTTTATTTTTGTCTTTCTGAGATGACCATTCCCCCTGCTGATTTTCCAAATGTAGCAAAGCTGGGTCTGCTAGTTCCACTCTAAAGAAAACACAGATAATAATCTGATTTAGACAGTGAGAAACATCAGTATGAATGGCAGCAGTAGTAGGTAACTGTGAGGCAACATTTCTGCTTCCAGTCCAGGCTCTCTTTAGCATTTAAAATATGTCAGCCAGTAGCATAAAGCCAAACCATGTTAAGACTGTAATTCACAATATTTTGGCTTCTATTTTTCACCAGCTTCTGAGTAATATATTGCACAAGAAAGAGGTCTTTGTTATGTTTATAATACATGTATAACCTGGTGGGAAGCAGAATAAAAAAAAATGTATATTATTTGCATAACTTGAACGAAAGAACCTAGTGCATTATTGGGTCTTGAATGTCTTAAATTTAAGAGAGCTGGCTTAAGAGTAATATTACTCTATTACAATTCTATAATTCATATAATGAAGTCATACGGCTAAAAAAAATTTAAGGTTTTTAACAATGATAAGTGGAACCTGATTTTTGAACTCCTTTTTAATGAAAACAGTAATTTATAAACTGGCACATGTGTGCCCCTTTTTGTTTGCTGACAATGAAAGGCTATTGCATTTGTATCTTTTTATCTGCTCTCCCCTCCATGGATGTGAGAGAAACCCATTTAGCCTAATGGTGCAGGCACCAAGGAAGAACAACCTCCTGGAAAAATCGAGAGATCTGCTTCCCAGGCAGAGCCATTGGAATTTCTGGATCCCCGTGTATCTTTCTCTGTCTTGACAACCACCCCCACCCCAACCTGTTTTCTTCAAGTCTACCACATGAGCTGCTTGAGCAAGTTGTGCTAGACTGAATGCTCTCACACTTTGTTCCATACATAGAAAACTGTGAGACTTCACCTCATATGGGTGGTGCTAGTCATCTTTAAATCTTATGGGTGAGGGATGTTTTTCCTTTCGTAGAAACAGAAACCCATAGCAATGCTCCCTCTCCCACTTAGGAAATGTGCCTTTGCTTTTAAAATAGCTGAAGTTACGATTTGTATGTAGAGAATACGATCTTCAGTGCTCCTGATGGTACTATTCATAGACATGAACGTTTTTGCCTGGCTGAGTGTTCGTACAGCTAAAGAGAGATTACTCTTATCTGTCTATATTCAGAAATAAAGGATATAGTGTAAACCAGATGTTGGAATGCCCCTTCTTGCTACACCAAATAGATATGATTATAATATAGTAACTGTTTTACTCCACAATTACTAAAATACTTCTTGAAAAGACCTAGGAATGACTGACTTAGTAAACTAATAGAGTAAAAAATAAAGGAAGTGATCGAATGTACAGAAACAAGGAGAAATTGTTTAAGATATTATACATTTGATATATTACTTATATCTATCATCAAACGAATTCAAATGTCAAGTACAAACTACATTGTCTTTTATTAATTTGATTTTTTTTAATTTTTTAATTTTAAAATTGGTTGATGGACTGGGTCTCCTTCCTGAGAATACCACACTACAGGCATCATTGTAATAATAGTTCATTCACTCTGTCATCTAAGTAACTATACTGAGAAATAACTGTTATTAATTTTAATTTTGAAAAGCAAGGTCTGAAACATATCAGCTCAGTTGGTATCATCCTTTCAAATGATTAAAACCATCACACTCGCTCTACACATGGCATCCTAAAGATCCTTCTGGTTGACTTTCTGCTTTTTGTTTCTGGAAAAAGAGGATTGGGGGAGGGGAGAGTTTGGAGAGGAGGTATTGGCTTGAAAAATAGACTTGGACGAGTTGCAAGCTCTGAAAACAGATTTCTTTATCTGCAAGCCAGGTTGGAGCGCATCCCCAGACTGCAATTCTGAGCCACCTTGTCCAGCTGAGAAGACTGCCATCTCTAGATGGCATATGAGCTCGATGCTGTTTCACTTCCACGTCTCTGGACTTTTTTCAACCTCAGGTCTCTCCTAAGCAGGAAAATTCCCTTTTTGCCTATCTGTGTTTTGGTGATATGGACTGCTATCTACCTGTGTGGGACTGAGATCATAAAACTCCTTTCACTGGCAATATGATTCGGATTGAAACCAAGGTCATGAGGTAAATAGCCAGTGCTTTATCCTCTCAGCCAAACCCTTGATAAGGGGTGCTCTTTGATGTTGAGAATGATAGTTGGCTTTTTCAGAACTTATATCCAAAACAGTAATACATAATGCATTTGCTTCTATCATACAGCTGCTGACACATGGTTGAAGGTTAATTTAAAAATTACTTAGTGACAAGAGCTACTTTAAATGAATCAAAGCTTCAGGAAGCAAAATAAATAATCCTCCACTGACAAAAAATATAAATTGCAAGCAAATACACCTACAGTTTCCAACTTCTTCCCAATAATTCATTACTTTTTTTTTTTTTTAAATACAAGCCAGCAGCTGGCTGGTAGAATCCCTCTCACCAATGGTGTCTCTTTCTCCATGGCCTCATCACAATTGAACTACTTATAGTATACAGTGCCCCTTCTACAGGTGTAAAGACCTCTGCAGATGCAAAAACTGATCAGATCTGCTATATCGGTAATAAATGGTTCCCACCCTGGTGCTTAATTGCAATGAAAAGCTGTTCATTTTCTCACATCCTTTGGTTCTGAAGATGGTGTCTCTTCCTTGCTTACCTGGGCAATATAAACATGAAGCATATAATGCATTTGCTTTTCACGGGGTTGTGTTAGGCACCTGACCAGGATAAATGCTGCGCCTAACACCCAAAACTCCTGCAGATTTCCTTGATTAAATCATTGCTTCCCTCTGGGCATCCTAGGAACCTGATTCTCTCTTGTTTCTCCTGTGACACCTGCTTATGTTGAGCCACACCCTCCCTCACTGGATTTCAGAAGATGTTAAAAAGAGAACTCACATAAAAATGGGGGTGAAGGATCTGAAGGCTAAAGTTCATCGTAAGTAAGTGGTAGGTGACATCAAAGTGGATGCCAAAGTGGATACCAAATTTATATCAAAGTTGGAGGCTGAAACCACGCAGCTGGAGTTGGAGCACTATGACTGAAACCTTGAAGTTGGCTTGAAAGTCCAGTGCTTTAACCACTATGCTATGAACAACCAACCACCACCCTGTGGAAAGGAAGGTCCTAGAATGGCACACCCTCTGTCTTTATTAAATACGAGCACTTAAAGGCACAGGCTGAAGAGCCCGACTGCCTGGGCTCAAGCTTTTCACTAGTTATACGAGTATGATGTGGGGCAACTTACTTAACCTTTCTGTGACCATTGCCTCATCTGAAAAATGGGAACAATAACAGTCCCTTCTCTCAGAATGGTGTTGAATCTCCCTTCCTTTATCAGAGCGCTTAATCAAAATTTATATATTATATATGTTATATATTATATATTATATATATATATACACATATATATATATATGGTTCCTCGGGAGGAACAAAAGGTTTGCGTTTAAGAAAGCATTGATTGGGCCGGCCGAGTGGCGCGATGGTTAAGAATTCGCTTGGGATGCCAGAGGGCCCCGGTTCGGATCCCGCATATGAGGGCCAGTGACACTGCCCTCCGCAGCTAAGATGCTGAACAACAGCTCGACCTGGAGCTGGGCTGCCATGAGTTGCCGGCGACGGCGTAGGCTGCAGTCCCTGTGGCAGTGGGTTGCCATGGGCTACCGTGTGTAGCCAGCAGCCAGCGTGAGTGGCCAGCCGCCGCAGTGAGTGGCCGTCCAGAAGCCGGCGACTGATCTGCCTCTCCAGGGAAGAGCGCAATGATGGTGCCAATTTGGGCAAGTGAAGCAACGTCCTCCACAACTAGATTGAAGAACAAAACGACAGCAACTTGTCTGTTCCCCTTCCCTAATCCCCCAGCACTGTTCCCATCCCCCCAATTCCCCAATAAAAATCTTAAAAAAAAAAGCATTGATTATAACTTAGTACACTTCTAAAATCGAAGTGCAAAACTCAAAAGCATTTAAATTAGCTCAGGAATTTTAAAAAATTGGAAGTATGCTATTGACATTATGAATCCAAAGTCAAACTCTCACAACTTATAAATTGGAGTATTCGGTAACTTATAAGCGTGCTCAGCACTGGTGGATGCAGCCAATGGCGGTACTGTGTACATACTCTGGACTTCACTATGTGTTTCTGACTGTGATGTTAATGGCTCCTTTGAAGAGGTTAAAAGCATATTGAGAACAGCAATCGATGCAACTGTATTTACATGTCGTGATTTTCTCAACTATTAGGATACACCTTAATCAGAAATGCATTCACTAGATTATAAGATAAAGGATGTCACACTAATAAATGCTGCTTATTATCTTTGATCTTAACCTAATGACAATGATTTTTTAGCATAGCACACACAGAGATTATCTGAATATTCTAATTCTAAAGAAAAACGTATTTATACTTTATAGAAATTTAAGGAAATCTCACAGACATTCATAGCCTCTATTGCTGCTTACTTAAATTGACCACATTTTGATTTCGATGTTTTTTTGGCCACATTGAAGTCATGACTGGTTTCCCTGGGGAGTCAACAGAAGTTTGGCAGGTGCATAAGCTCTGCAGGGCAGAGAGTAAGAGGAGAGAGGAGCTCGGAAGGTCACTGCAAAACGTTGGACACCTTTCTGCAGCTCTAATAACTCAAAACCAAAGTCATAGTCAGGGAAAGATGGAGTTTGAGAGAATTTTGAACTGGGAGTTGGCCGTTTGGGTAGTTTTCTTCTGGCTAAGATCTAGAAACACCGGGAGAGAGCCTTTTCTGTTGGCATAAACAAGAATCCATACACAAAAGGACCTTACCTGCGAGTGGGGGCATGGCCCACCATTGCCCACAGTGACCCACCAACACTAGATTTTTACAAGGGGGTCTGCAGCCCTTTACACAGCAGCGGGTAAGTCCCTAAGGAACAATCTGACGTGTGGACTGAGGAGAAAAAAACCGAAGCACAATGTGGATTTTCTTTTCTTTGCATTTCTTTGTTTTGATCATACTGTTCATTCTTTATCAAAATGCCTTTCTCCAATTTCCTCAGCCCAGCGGTTTGAACGTTTGCATGAAGTAGACACATATCACTACATGTGAACCGTGAAATGTATTTGAAAATAAATGTTTTAATTAAAATTGACATTTCTGAGCCTACTGCTGAGGACAGCTGCTTTTTCTCTAAAATTACTTTGTCCATCTCCATAGGAGCCCAATATAAGAGGAGTTTCCATCCCACTTTAATACTAATTTAATATCAAAAGAACAGCATTACTGTGGATACACAAATATTCTTCTTTTCGGTTGTTAAACCAGTTCAAAAAGACTACAAGTGGGTTTTTCACTCACAAAGTATTCGCCTATTTTGTCTCTTTCCCCAAATGTATGCATTTAACAAGATGGCTGTCCAAGACAGGTGGAATAGAAGCCCTCTCACAGAGGTGTATGGATGGAGGGGATGAAGGAGTAGATATCAGAGTCTGCCCTTACCCCTGTCCTCTTAACCTTGCTGGAGCTGGTGCTGCTAGGGAGCTGTGGAGTCAGAGGCAACTGTGTGTCATCAACATAGCACCAGCTAGGTGTTTGGGGAGTAACCACAGCTAACTTGGACTGAGCACTTACTATGTAGTAGGCATCATTCATTCACTCAACAAATACAGCAGTATTCCAGTCCCCATGGAGTTACATTCCAGTGGGAGGAGATAGAAAATTAAATAAGTTTTATAGCACATTAGCATGGGAGGTCGTTATGGGGAAATATAAAGTTTAGAAGGGGAAAGAGAGGTCCAGGGGTGAGAGTGTTTGCTATTCAGAAAAGGATGGTAACATTTGAATGAAGACTCAAGGAGGTGAGAGAGCAGAGCATGGTGATATGCAGGAGAAGCGTGCTCTAGGCAGAAGAAAAGCAAGGGCACAGGCCCTGAGGCCGGCCTGGGCTTGGTGAGTGTGGGGACAGCAAGGAGGCTGGGGTGGCTGGAGCAAGGAGAGAAGAGTGAGAAGGTAAGATCAAGGAAATAAGGCATGGGAGACCATCGCAAGGACTTTGGCTTTTACTCTGAACCATTGGAAGTTTTCATTAGTGGTGACATGCTTTGATCTGTTTTTTAAAAGGAAAACTCTGGGTGCTGTGTTAAGAGCAGGTCGTATCCCCTTCCAAACACATACATGTATTAGCAAGTCTCACAACAACCCCCTAGAAGAGTATTATTATTATCTCCATCTTATAGATGAGTAGCTAAAGCACAAAGAAGTTGGGTGACTTGACCAAGGTTGCACCTAGAAATGGGGAGAGATGGGTTTCCAAACATAAGCTGCCTGGCTATAAACCCTGGCCCCTAACTGCTGTGCTCTCTTGCCTCTCCACAAATAGAGCTAAAAGTGATACATGCTGCCACAGGAGGGGATTACTTTTAATTGAGCAGCCAAATTAAGGCATGCACAGCTATAATTTAATATTATGCTGGTAAGAGTATTTTCAGTATGCCACCAGCTCCCTCCCACACTTCCATAACTACCTAAAAGCCAATACCTTGTCTCTTCCCCTAACCTGTTGTAGATCTCACACTGAGTCTCCTAAATTCAACTACCTAATTCAGTTCAGTGAGCTCAGCACGCTTGATTAATAGCCTATCACGTGCCAGGATTTATACTAAGCAGTTGCGTTATCTTTGCCCTCCAGGAATTTATATCATAGATCAGAGAAGTGGATGCATAAGCATTGTTCACTACAATGCCCTCCTGAGCATCTCCACCTGGATGTCTTGTGGACACATCACAGCAACGGATCCCAAATCAAAGAGTCTTTCTGCCCTCATCCTTTCTCTTGTATTTTGTATGTTGGTTAATGATACTCCCATGTGCAGAATTTTTTGATTCATCCTTGACTCACCTATTCTCACTCCCCCATCTCTTAGCCAGGATTCCTGTCAGTTTAGCCTCCTAAGGATTTTGAGAATGACCTGCCTGCTCCTCCTCCCCTCTCCCCAGCAGACCATCACCAGCTTTAAGCAAAGCAGAGGTCAGCAAATGTTTTTTGTAACAAGCCAGATGGTGAATGTTATAGGCTTTGCGGGACATGTAATAGTCTTGGTCAAATATTCTTCTTTGCTTTTTTTCATTTGTTTTTGTGTTTGTTTTACAACCCTTTAAAAATACAAAAAACCATTCTTGACTCCCAGGCTGAATTTGGCCATGAGGTAACAGCAACAGCCCCTCTACCTATTTCTGGGGTGTTCTCCTAGGCTGCCCTCACACATTGACCCTCCCCGCCCATCCTTCTATATTAGACATTTTAAATCCTCAAGGCTTTGAGTCTTCCCTTTTCATTTAAATCAGTATAAAAGCAGCTCATAATACTCCGCTTCTTTAAAATTTTCAACATGCCCTCTATTATCTGCAGAAAATATATAGACTCCTTATATTCATAAAGGTCTTCTGGCACCATCTCCTGTTACTCCATCCTCCACACACGATGAGGGAGCCACAAAGAACTTACCTTCCTGCAAACACCCTATGGTTCCCTGAAGCCTTCCAATTTTTGCACATGCTGTTCCTTCTGCCTGGAACGCCTTAACTTCCTTCCTTTTTCTTCTTTTTTTAATATTCCCAATTGGTTTACCTTTCAAGGTACCTCAATTGAGATTTACCCTTCAAGATCCATTTAAAAAGTTGTCTCATCTATGAAGTAGTCCAGATCCCTCCTTTGCCACTGTCCCATCCAGCTGGAAGCAATTACTCCCTGTGCTCCCACAGGGATTTGCATACCCCCGAGTGTAGTCATTTCTAGTACAAGCAAGTTGCCTGGGTTCAAATTCAGCTCTACCACTGCCCAGCTACGTGACTCTGGGCTGAGCTCTTCCTTGGTTCCATCTGCGGAAAATAAGGGTTGTGTGGTGATTAAGTAGTTAATAGATGTTACATCCTAAAAACCCTATGACACATCCTCAAAACTCTGAGACTAGATATGATTATTATCTCAGTTAAAGCATTGAGTATGTTGTCTGATAAATATTTTATTAAGAATCTATCCCTCCATTAGAGTAAGTTGCTTAAGGGCAGAAACTAAGTTTTCTTCATCTTTACATAAGGTTTAGAAGATAATTTGTGTTGAATAAATGTTTGCTAAATGAATGAATGAATGACCCCAGATTTAATAATGGATATTTTAAATCTGGTATGGTTTTTCACAAAGTTTCTTTGAAAAGAAGAACTTTCTGCCTCCCCTGGGACTGCTGGTAGCAGTGGGGGTGGGGTGGGGTGGGGTGGGGAGGTGTCCTTCCTTGGAAGCAGAAAGGCCAAAGGGCACAGTGATTGTGACTGTGAGTTCTTGATTGGCAGCCTAAATCTATAACCCACCACCAATTAGATATGCAGCCTCAGGCACATTACTTAACCTCTCTGTGCCTCATTTTCTGCCTGTGTAAATAACAATAATAATAGTACTGACCTTACAGGATTTTATTGGGGGATGAAATTTAA